CACGCCGCTCTCGGGCTCTCTGTTCTAGCCTCTCTCTCCCTGGCCCAGAGAGAGCAGGGAAACTTCCATTCATTCACCAGTCCAGCTGACTGTGGAGTGGCTGAATTTCTGCTGCCTCCCAGGGTTCCCCCACATCTCTGGCTTGTGGCCTGGACAGTCTGGTCAGCACAGGCAGCAGGAGCCTTTCCTAACCTCCTGTAGGACGGCCTCCTCCCTGGATGGGCTGCAGTCTGTATTGATGCCGCCCCACGCATTGGGACAGTCCCTTTTCTGTCTTTCCCACCCTTTTCTGCCTTTGGGCAGCTGGGAACTGTAGTCCAGCAGATGAGGAATCCCCATTCAACCCAGTGTCCCTACGGGCCCCTCTTTGGAACTACAGTTGAATTAAACCTTATGGCGGAACATTTTAAACAGACAGCCACAGACAGCAGCCATCTTACAAACACAGGTAACTGCCATTTCGTTCAAAAGCTGTTTTGGCTATTCATGTTGATCTGTTTGGAGTTGAGTTACGAGTTGCTGAATAAAGCTGATCTTTTGCTGAAATCACTCTCTGACTCTTTGTTAAGTAACCGACTTAACAGGGCTTGGGAAGGAAGCATTTGTGGAAAAGGGCCACCACTTCTTGTCTTTTGGGCTGTTCAAAATTTGCCTTCAAACCCCCTTTTGGGATGCTTCATTCCTTAAGCAGGTAGGCAAGACTGCTTTTCCAGACATCCAGCCCTTGCAAAAAATAAAAATAATTTCTGTTGAATGTCCAATTCTTACCCTCGCCTCCCCTCCCCCCTCAAGTTTCTTGCATGGTATGTTTGCTGTGTCGTTTTCTGTAAGTCTCGTATAATATGAGAGATTTTCAGCAAGAACAAGACAAGACTTCAGGGCCACAGCCCTGTTTAAATAGTGTGCAGTTGCCACACCCAAACACACCCCACTCCCAATGATCCACTATTTACATAACATTACTTCTTGACTAGGGGCTGTGGTGGCTCAAGTGGCTGAGACGCTGAACTGCAGGCTGGAAGGTCGGTAGTTCAGCAGTTTGAGACCCAAGTGCCGCAAGACGGAGTGAGCTTCCGTCTCTGGTCCCAGCTCCTGCCAACTTAGCAGTTCGAAAGCAAGAAATTGCAAGTAGATAAATAGGTAACACTTTGGTGGGAAGGTAACAGCGTTCTGTGGGCCTTGGCGTCTAGTCATGCTGGCCACATGACCACGGAAATGTCTTTGGACAGCACTGGCTCTTCGGCTTGGCAACAGATGAGCACCGCATCCCTAGAGTCGGATTCGACTGGCTTTCAAGCAAGGGAAACCTTTACCTTTACCTTACTTCTTGACTGATTACTTCCAGAATCCTGGTGGGGTCCTGGAATGTTTCAGTCCCAATACATAACACCTCTAAGCTGAGTTAGTGTAAGATAGCTCACAGTCTTTTAGCCTCCAGCTCAAAGATTTTTGTCTTAGTTCAGGAAGAATGGCTCCAGAGCAAACTAATTTATGCAGTAGCCAAATCACTCACTCATGACTTTAATGCCTGTAGCTCACAAAGTAGAATTTTTGCTCAGAAGACTCCACAGCTTAGAGGGCGCATTGCACGTGACCCAGTCATGTGCTGGTGTCACATGACTTGGTCACATGATTGCAGCGAGGCCTGTCTGCCTTATCCGTTGCTCGTCCAGCTCCGTGGGGGTGGCAGCTGCAGCAGCTGCCTGGGGGATTTCTCCTGGGCCAGGTAATGGGGATGGGGCTTGTGGTGTATTCAATCTGACCCATGTATGTATGAGAAACACTGTCATTGAATCACCATGTGAAGCTTAATTCCTGGGCTAGGATCCAAATCCCTCAAATGTAATTGGTAGCCCAGGAAGAGCCGACCAATCATAAACAGCCAGTTACAGAAGCAAGAACTAATGTGATTGGACCTTATCTCTGCAACCTCATAGGTTGATATTGTACAGTAGGGCGTGGCTACATTAGCCGGGAGAGTTTAAAAGTGGAACAGCTTCTATGCAAAAGCTGTTTTGGCTATTCATGTTGATCTGTTTGGAGTTGAGTTACGAGTTGCTGAATAAAGCTGATCTTTTGCTGAAATCACTCTCTGACTCTTTGTTAAGTAACCGACTTAACAGGGCTTGGGAAGGAAGCATTTGTGGAAAAGGGCCACCACTTCTTGTCTTTTGGGCTGTTCAAAATTTGCCTTCAAACCCCCTTTTGGGATGCTTCATTCCTTAAGCAGGTAGGCAAGACTGCTTTTCCAGACATCCAGCCCTTGCAAAAAATAAAAATAATTTCTGTTGAATGTCCAATTCTTACCCTCGCCTCCCCTCCCCCCTCAAGTTTCTTGCATGGTATGTTTGCTGTGTCGTTTTCTGTAAGTCTCGTATAATATGAGAGATGTTTTTCCCTTTAGTTTCTTTAAAAAAAACTTGCTGGTTGAGCGTTTCATTTGGAAGGATGAGCACGTGATGGGCAAGTGCCCCACAGGATTTCCCA